TGCGCTCCCCTCAGGTGCCTCCTCCCCAATCCCCCCAAGCCAGGCTGGCTTGGCTGTGGAACGAGAGGTATGCAGTGAAGCAAGACGGGCCCATGCTGAGCCTGGCACCGGGCGGGTGTGGGGCAAAGCAGGCTGGGTGGGGACTGTGTCCTGACCTTCCATCTCTGAGCTGACAACCGGGATGTCCTGGGTTTGTAACTCGTCTCAAGAACTCTTGCCAAATGCCCATTCCTGCCCCTGGGCAGCGGCCCCTCCTCTAAGGACGGGGCGCGCGCGGGGGGGGGGGGGTGTGTGCCGGAAGACAAAGGGAGGGAAGGGTGGAGGGTTGAGAGGAAACTGCCTTGGGGGCCCCCCTGGTGTGGAAAACTCCACGTGCTGAGAGGCAGCTGTGCGGGTCAGAGGAGGCTGGAGACATAAATCCTGTCCTGCCCCCTCAGCTCTGCCCTTCCCGCCTCCAGGCACTGCTCTCCCCCAGGATTTTTGTGCCACGCAGAGCCCTTGTCCCCGCCCCCCATCCCCGTTCTGCCCACCACTGCTCAAGCACACAGCTTTGGGGGAGGAGGAGGAAGGCAGGGCGTGGGGTCTGGGCAGCTTGGCAGACAAAGGCAAACCGCAGCCCAGCCACGGGGGTAGGAGTAAGAAGGCGAGCAGGAAAGGACCACGGGTGACCCCCACCCTGGGGCCCAGTGGAGCCCGCCCCTTCCTCAACACGGACACAGCAGTTCCCAAGCCAAGGCCCAGTTTTATTTACACTCATCCCGGAGCACATGGGTTGGGGCTACTGGACACGTCTCTGGGGACAGGCGGCTGAACGCCAGAGGGCAGTGATGGGGTGTAGAAGAAAGAGACAGCAAGGAGGGCTGGGTCCCCCTCCTTGAGTGTCCTCCGGAGGCTCCCACGTAGCCCCGGGCAGAGGCGGAGGTGCGGTCTCAGTCAGGATTTGGACTTGGACACAGCGAGTCCGATGAGTCCAGCCAGACCCGCCACGCCCAGGGCCATGCCTCCAACAATGGCCATGCCCACTAGTCCATCTGGGAAAGGGAAAAGGGAGACCGTCAGGAGCCCAGCCCCGCCAGGGACCCTGCCCACCATCTTCTTTCTCCCTGCCCGATGCTCCTCAAAAGATGTGCCTCTTCCCCTGGAGTCATGAGGTGAGGGACTCCAGGGCTTGGAGAAAGAGGGCTTCTGAGGGACCGAGCAGGAAGTGCTTGGGTGGGGAGGGAGGGGGTCATTTAAAGGGAGACCAGAGAGCCCAGCCCAGGCCCCGGGGGGAGGAAGAGGACTTAACCAAGAGCCGAGAGGCACCCGGGGACGCTGGGGCCCAGGACAGTGGGGAGTGGGGAAGGTCCGAGAAGAAGAGTTCACCTTTCTTCATGGCCTTGTCAATGAGTCGTTCCAGTTCCTTGGCCTGGTTGTTCTGGGGCTCAGTCTGCAGCAGGCCCCGCACATACTTTAATGCCTTCTCATATTCCTGCACTCGGGGAAAACATCCCACACACACACACACACACCCACACACACCGCCTCAGTATTCTGTCCCTCCTCCTGCCCATCAGAGGGCCTTCCCTTCACTGGCCCTGGGGGATCCTCCCTCTCCCCCCACCTCCACTCCTCCTCCCTGACTCCAGCCCCACCCAATGGAGTAGAGTCCACAAACCACCCCATCTGTGTGGGGGTGATAAGCTGGAGGAGATAACAACGCAAAGGCTTGGGGCTGCACCCCAGCCTGAGGTCACCTTGCTCCCCACACCCTCGGCAGCTGGAATCTCTCTCACGTCCTCTCGGCCTGCTGTATTCTTGCACCTCTGTCCCCAACACCACCCCCTGCCTACGGCCCTCCTTGGCCTTCCTGAGGCCCAGGGCTGGCCCGCGGCAGAGACACGAGAGGGCGCTGTGGCACCGCTGCCTTACCTTGAGCCGGTAGTTGCCCACAGCCAGGTAGAAGACATAATCCCGCTGCTCTTCTTTGCTCCCTTTGGGCAGCAGCTCTGGGGAGGGTGGAGGAAAGAGGGTGAAAACCGCTTCTCTTCTTTCCTGGTGCTGGTGTCCCAGAGACCCCGTCCATTCTCTGAACCCCTGTATGATCCTGGGAGAAAGTCACTGTCCTGTGCTTCCCTTCCAGCTCCGGCCACTCGTGGCTTCCCTGTCAGACCTCTGGGGCACCACGGACCCAGGCTGCCAGACACCCGGTGATCAACACCCTGGTCTCCATACTGCAGTCAGCTCTGGCTCATCTAAGTGAACCGACAGGGAATCAAGGCGCTGGAGAAGCCAAAGACAGCTCTCCTCACTTCTAGCACCTGCTGCGCGTTCTCACTGCGGTCACTTGCTGCCCAGACTAGTGTTCAAGTAAGTGTGCCCTCCCTCCCCCTTAAAAAAAAAATCAGCTCGAAGCTCATCTTCTGTGAGCATCCCCTGAGTGACATGACCTGATTCTTTCTTAATTCAGTGACTTCCCAGAGGCTTATGTGTTCGGTTGTATGCTATGCAGAATTTGGTAGTTTCGTGGGTGTTTATCAATCTTCCCAAGTGTCTGTTCTGTCTCCTCAACTAGAACTGGCAATGCTTAGAGACCCCATCTACGGCTGTGCCCAGCTGTAGAGGAAACCTGAAAAATCTGAATGAGCCAAATGGGCAAATGTAGGGTGAAGTTATTTGCATTAGAAAAGATTCTTATTTTTATAGATTTACAATGGCCATCCTTCGCCAGTACACTTTTGCGTACACATGATTACTTGACCAAGAGAAAGGGTCCAGGAGGCAGAGAAATTTAAAGGTCAGGTATTGTGGCCTCTGACAAATGGTGACCCATCCAAAACCAACAGGAAATAGGATTCCAATCAAAACAGCGCCATCTGCTCCCAGGTTTGGGGGCCTGTCTTCTGTACTTCTTCCACACCATCCTCATGGAAGGTTTTCAACAGCTGCTGAATAAGCAACATGGTGGGGCCAAAGAGCAAGGGTCTGGGACACACAGGACAGGAGCTTCTAGTCCTAATTCAGCCGCGAATTCATTAGCTGTGTGACCTCAGACAAGTCACTCTCCTTATGGTCCGGCTACCAGATTGCCAGAGTCCTGCGGGGACTGCCGTACTCTGACTCTGTCTGGCTGAACAAGGATGAGGTGGTAATTAGCCAAAAGCACCCTGGGAGAAGCCAGGCTAAGGGGCAGCCCTTTGTCGCAGCTCTTTACAGGGACATAACTGCAAGGTGACTATTACAGGCTCCCGTGTTGAAAAAGGATCCCAGCACTTGAGATGGAGGGAGTGAACGAGGCCATGGCAGTAGAGGGCAGATCCGGCTGGCAGCTGGGAAGGGGAGAGCGGGGTAGCCTAGCACCTCACCCTCCAGCAGGGCGATGCCTTTCCGGATGTCATCGTTGTACTTGCTTCGCACCAGGCACCAGGCATACTCAAACTGCGTGCTCCTGGACACGGAGCCTGCTGCCTTCTCAGACTGAAACTTCTTTTCAAACTTCTGCCATAGGAGAGGAGAGGAGAGGAGTCATTTAGAAACGAAGGGGCCCGCCATTCTCTGGCAGGACCTGCGTGTCCAATTCCCAGTTACACCTCATCTGCCCCAGTCTCTGCCACATTTCCCTCGCGGCTCTTGGCATCTGGCACCCCAGGTTCCGCTAGCTTCATCCCTGGGACCCAGACCCAGGGATTCTGCTTCTTAGCGACGGGCTGTCTCCTTGGACGGTAACCCCCGTCCGCTTCCCTCCCCCTAGTGGTACCGAGCGGAGATGCCGCCTCGTGGCGGCTCCAGGCACTGTTCCGGAGGCAGCTGACCCCGAGTGGCTAAACAGTAAACAAGCTGTCAGAACTGCTCAACAACCACCCACGCAGTCCCTCTTCGGTGGCTGCTTCCCCCAACCAGCCCCACCCTGTCGGG